GTAAAGTTTTGTTTTTCTTTGTGCTCTTCCTTCTCAAGCATAGAAATTCGGATATTGGCGTGTGCTCTTTTATATGGTAATGTTATTAATTAGGGGGCGGAGATCTGACGCCAGTCATCTGCACACAATTTCAAGATCATTTGCGATTTATAAATGTCACATCTGAAAGAGAGGCGTACGCACGTGTTTTTGTGCGCACTTACGCACTTTTGAGAAATGATCTTAGAACAAATTTAGGACGGTTTATACGCAACATTTTATAAGTGAGGCCCCAGGTGTTTACAATAAGAATAAGAAATCCATAAGGAGTTATACGTTTACATTCTTAAATCTAAATGAGCATATTCTATTAACTTTCGTTAGTTTCATATACAACTAATTATAAATAAGATACCCTAACCCTCACGGAAAACCTGCTGCATTTTTTATTATTTGTAAAGAAAAAACAAAACAAAAAAACATTTACTTGATATCTAGTTTCAAGGTTTTGTCAGGTTGAGCTCACATCTGGGTACAAATTTGTCTGTGTATTTTTGCGACTTTGGAGCCCCCTACAGTTAAGATAATATTTTGCTAAATTTCATATTCATGAATGTAAATTCAGTCAAATCCAACCTTTTGTTTTTTGGTTCTTAAAAAAGAAATTAAATGATATATTATCAAGACTGTTTATCATGAACCTTGATTAGCCTACCCCCTGGCTGTGTGTTTTTTATTGCAGTTCTGATTACATTGACCACGCCTGTACTATTCATAAAATGTAATAATAATAATCTCACGGAAAACCTGCTGCATTTTTTATTATTTGTAAAGAAAAAACAAAACAAAAAAACATTTACTTGATATCTAGTTTCAAGGTTTTGTCAGGTTGAGCTCACATCTGGGTACAAATTTGTCTGTGTATTTTTGCGACTTTGGAGCCCCCTACAGTTAAGATAATATTTTGCTAAATTTCATATTCATGAATGTAAATTCAGTAAAATCCAACCTTTTGTTTTTTGGTTCTTAAAAAAAGAAATTAAATGATATATCATCAAGACTGTTTATCATTAACCTATTTACTTGATTAGCCTACCCCCTGGCTGTGTGTTTTTTATTGCAGTTCTGATTACATTGACCACGCCTGTACTATTCATAAAATGTAATAATAATAATAATAATGGTGTATTCAAAATTATTTATTCAAATTAATTATTTTGATTAATGTCTGTTATTCATTTCTTTTATTTTAGTTGGCTTGGATTCAGAGATTCATGATTCAGATTTTTAAATTATTTATTTGTTTCAATTTGACTTGTATTTTTGTCTTCATATAATATTTGAAGATATAAGATATATGAAGACAAAAATACATCTAATATTCATAAAGTTTGAATATATATTCATTAAGTTATTTATATATCACTCAAGCTCAGAGTCCGAGCTGCCGAGGACAGTTTAGTGTGTGGTGGTTGACATGAGAGCTACTGCAATATAAACTGACTAAGCGCTGAATGATTTCGCAAAAAAAGCATCAGGATCATATACTCCTGGAAATGGACTCATTACGAATCTGAGTGACTGTCACGTCCAAAAATGAGTTTTGCTTGAGTAACTTCTGTGAGTGTGTGAAAAAGCCATTCTTCTTATTAGATTACAATATAACGAGATAACAATTACAAGATAACAATTTTGAAACTGAGATTTCAAAGTAAAAGTCCTACGTACAGTTGCGTTAAGTTGGCACACATTCACTATTTTGGTTGTTTGGTTTAGAGGAACTCTGAGGTTATGGGCTTACATTTCTGCCACAATTCTGCGCGCGAAAGATCATATTTTGAGCGCACAAAAGTGCATTTTGCACGCGCGCGATCTGAGTTTGTGGAGAAAATGTTCGTTTCGCAAAGAAAAAAGTCTTTCGAGCGCACGGAAATCAATTTTGCATTTAAAATACGTTTTTGGATGTGTGCAGACCTTCTCTTTTGCCCGTGCAAGGTTTCACTAGCTTGCTCACCTGATGCCCGCCTCTGTGCTCTCTAAAATGCCAACAGCTCGCGTGCTCAACACAACCTACAATGTGCCATAATTCCAGCCAATCAGAGACCGAGGCTGCTAAATTCTGATTGGCTGCTTTGACAACCAATCACAACATTTCTTGCATTACCTCGACAGCAGAAGAGGAAAAATACAGTGCATGCATAATTATTATGCAAGTTGATATTCTGATTATATTTTTTTCCAAGCACATTTTACCAATAATTATAACTACTATTAATCTTGTATTTAATAATTTATAATTGATATATAATTATTCATGAAGACTGGAAGTGAAAAACGCCTTATATTCAGGTGTGCATAATTATTAAGCAGATTTTCTTTTACAGAT